CGCCGACACCTCCTCATCTCCACCGCTCCCATGGTTTCTTTTGTGTTGCCATAAGTTAGTCTCTCTCTCGGGCTAATGCTAATGCGAGGATAATAAAATGGCGGCTTCACAAAACTTTTTGGGAGTTTTACGGGGCGTGGTTTGCAATCCGCACAGCCAATCAGAAATAGGAACCTTTTTCTCCCACGAAAGTCCCTGCTCTCTAGTAGGGACGGAAAAGGGGGTAAAAAGGTTCTCATTAACTCATTTTAGTTCCGGATTTTCTTTGGTGTGAACGCAACATTTCGAAACTATATCGCAACTAAAGTGGGAAAAGTACTGCGATGTGAACGCGCCTATAGGAGAACTTCCTAAGACAATCGGGCAGCTTCTTGTTTCCTTCATATTGTCTTTGTGAGCCGAAAAATGCCCGATGATACCGATGATCACACGAAGTAAAGACGAAGATGACACGATTTGACAAGATGCCCTCATGATGGCCTTACGAAGGGCAAAATGGACACAGGAATTCAACACGAAAATTAACCTTCGCAAGGTCTTTCGGCAATTTTTTGGCATGCCAAAGATTTTGCTACCCCTCACGAAGTTGCTGCCAAAGCCTGAGAAACTCCGCCGGCGGTCATACGATGGCTTAAGATGCCCTCACGAATGGCCCGATGTTGTTACGATCAGAGCCGAATTTGAACATTTCCTTTATCGTGTGTCCATCTGGTGTCAATTTTGGGACAGTGTGAGACAAGCTTTAAGGTGAAGACATATTTAAGATGGACATTTTTTAATCCCTGTAGGGAAATGTAGGATTTAAAGCAGCAACAGAATAGGCATGAAATACAGCACAGTATAGACAAGAGTTCACACAAGGATCATAACGTTTAAAATAAAATGATATAAGTAACTGTGAAAATCACAACAACAAGGTAAAAATGTTATATTCAGTCTTTGTCTTTGCATATTCTTTGATTCGTACTACCATTTATGTATATGGGTAATGATTTGAAACGAGCAAATACTAGCCCAAAGTTCAACTTCTTAAGGAAAGATTAGCACCCCACATAACTTATCTTTTGTCTTTTAAAAATTGTTGCTATAGTCGGATCACTCTAGTCTTTTTCTTTGGCTGAAGGAATTTATATTACCTTTTATCCAACCATGATTGCATCTTTCACATTAACTAGTTTGTTCATGATTAACTTCTGCGCTGTGAAACCTTTGATCATAGGGTCCTATCTATGTCAATACTGGTCTCTTGTCAGTTGATAACTTTTGTCTCAAGATTTTTCAGGAATTAGCCAATAGGAGACATTCACTCCCAATAATTTCCCTGGCCAGGTTTGGGTCGGTGGCGTGTGGCGTTGGCAAGGAGCTCTACGTGTTTGGCGGAGTGAGAAGCAAAGAGCAAGAAAACCCAGAGCAAAGGCAGATGATGACCTGCAAGTCTGAGTTCTACCATGACGAGATGAGGAGGTCAGTATGGGAGCAGTGCGTCTAGGAGGGTTTTAAAGCTACTTTTATACCACATTTAAAAACACTTTTATTAGATTCTTTAATATATCATTAATACTTCAATTTCTTTAAGGAAAATGTCTTTATTGTCTAAACATTTTGACTTAAAGTTCCATTTAGCCTTGGAAACAACAGCTGAGTCTTTTTGGAAATTTTGACTTTATTGCATGATCTTGATTAGCAGGACTTTCTACATTTTTATTCTTTAATGGATTCCCATCAGTTACATTAATGAACAAAATACAGTTCCTGGTACTAAATATAGCGTTTATATAATATAATATAAAATATATGTATTTCCAGATGAAATTACAAAACAGCTATTGTCTGTCTTAGTTGTCCCCCCCTTATGTGGGCTAATGATAAATCAAAAAAAAAAATTCATTTCCATTGTGAAGTTAATTTGGTGGGGACACGAGACATAAATAGAGAATGCATTGTACAGTGTGCAATCATATACACTTGACTGTCGTACAAAATGGAACAGAATATTCAACTATCAATTTCCTAATATGAAAATAAGAAAGTTTTCAATAAAAAATAAAGAACCAATTGTTTTGATACCAATATGTGTGTAATGCTGAGTACAGGTGGATGTTCCTGGATGATCAGACCCTGTGTATCCAGACCAGCTCCTCCTTCGTTTATGGGGCTGTGCCCATCGGAGCCAGCATCTATGTGGTTGGAGACCTGGACACCGGTCAGTAAGAGAAACCAGGTCCAACAACCACAGTTTTCTGATCAGGTTACAGTCCGCTCAATATTAAATTAATTATTTAGATGTGTGAATTTGCTGTTTCTGACCTACAGGAACAAGTTTTGACTACATCAGGGAGTTTCGCCGCAGTACTGGGACGTGGCAGCGCACCAGACCCATGTTACCCAGCGATCTCTCCAAAACAGCGTGCGCAGCCCTGCGCATCGCCAACTGTCGACTGTTCCGCCTGCAGTGGAGCCAGGACATGTTCCGGGTCCGAGTGTGACCCTGTTGGGCGCCACACTCCACTTTTGCACGCTGCTTCTGTCTACCTGCTGTATGTCTGGGATTGGGGATTTTAAGAACACTAAAGTATTATATTGGCTAGAGTTGAGGGTTGTGACTCTCAGTTCACGGGCTTATACGAGAATGGGACACAGGATAAAAGTTCATCTTTTTGACATCATAGGTTTAATGGCTTTTTTTATAAACCTTTAATATTTTTTGCTTTTAATTGTGGGAATTGCTTCATATTGTAATGGACATTCCTCATCAGTAATGTTAACTGGTGAACTGTTGCTTGGTGAGGGATCAAACAACAAACAATTATTGATAAACTGCTACTTTATTACACAAGGGACTTTAAAATAAGTTATAAAAGTGCTGTGTTACAATTTGAGTTTTAGGATGTATTATGTTTTTCAGTCTTGTATTGTCCATCTTTCTGGTCAATCATTAACATACATAATCATTTGACCTAATATTTGTTACAACTGCAGTGGAGGTATAAATGCTATAGTAATATAAATCTTTAAGGGGAAGGCGGACTTTGGTGTCGGTCCCTGACAATCAGAGAGAACTGTGGTCGTTGCATAAAATAACAATGATTTTGTGGGTTCGTAGCATGGCAACACTGTGCGAGTTGACTAATAAAATATTGGTCGTAATCTGTCTACACTGTATCACGTAATCTGTCTACACTATCACGTTTAGGACCAACTTTTTGATTTACATTGTAGAACTACCATGTCAATATTTCAATAAGTGCTCAAATGTTCACATTTGCAAGGGTATCCAGCGTGACTTCATGTCCTCTTGATTTGAAGGCCAGTGGGGTGGGTGGGTCAACAAAATGTCTGACTTTGAGACATCAATTATTGAGACATTTCCGTTTCCTGGCAATAGTCAACATTACCAAGGATTTATTGTAGCAATGTCAACCGAAGGTCACCTTACCTATGCAATGTAGTCATTTTGAATCAAACCAAGATCCCTCAGAGCATTACTTTACAAATACTTGTCATTCTCCCGATAGAGTGTTCTGGTCAGAAAGTTGACAATGTTTTGCCACATTTCTCACAATTGTCAGTTCACAAAATAACAGTGTAAGGACCTTTAGTGCCATGATGAATGAATTATGTGTGACAGTGTAGATACACTTACTGCAGCAGATGAAGAAGGTTGATGGAAAATGAAGACGTTAATAAGTCACAAACTAATCCCTGCATGCGTTGTTCAGACTGGTCTTGCATCAATAGTATGGATGAAGGTGTATTCTGAGAGACGTTGAAATGCAATAACATTTACTTCACTGACGACATCCTAGAAAGATGAATTCCACAGTTTCCACACACTAACTGAATGTTAGCATGTTGGAGCACAAGCGCTTGACTTTAGATTTGATCTTTGACCGAGCTCTCTGTGCCCAGCCTGTTCAGAAATAGACGTTGCTCTGAGTCACTCTCTTGAGTTGCTGGATGTGTTGCTGCCTTGCTGACCTCTGGCTTTCCAGTCAGAACAGTTTTGGCATCCCTTGACCCCATTTGTTCTGTGTGAGTTACAGCTGCTGCTGTCTGTCCTCCGCTCAGGGGCAGCACATAAAGTGACACGCGCTCAGTGGAGCTCATGGACTGTTGATACAAACACACATCATAATGTCAGAAAGGCAATCCAACACACACATTCGGCACAACCAGCGTGAACCATAGCTCTAGTAGTAGAAGCAGTCTTTAAATAGGAAGTAATCATTAAACGAGATGATCATTCACAATGACTTTGTATTCAAGTTTACCAACACCTCTATACTAATGATGAAATAAATATGTTTTTGAGTGTTTTACATACGTTAAAACATCAATTGGATCAGAATCTCAACACAGTCAAAAATACTGTCAACAAGCCATTACAGCAAAAACGTTGTTTTGATCATAATGTTCAGCTGATCAACAGGCAAAAGTAATTATTTCAATATTGTGTAAGATATGGGAATGTAAGTATTGCCCCTGTGTTAAACCCCAGTATAAAAATGTCAGAAACAGGAAGGCTCTCTGACAGCAGCTGAAATAAAGTTGTTCCTGAAGCTGAAGTCTGTCTAGAAATAGTGCTTCCTTATTTTGGACACTTCCACTCTGTCTATAACAGTTTTACAATGACAGTAAATACTTTATCAGGTTTCCAATCAGCTCTGTATCCTAAACAACACTTATTCTCCCGTGACCTATGTTGTCAAGGCAGTGTGAACGACGGGCAGGACTTCTGTGACTGATGCATGACGACATTTTGGAAGATGTTCCCGATGAGTACACCAGTGTGCTTGACTTTACTGTGTGTCTTAACCCATTTCTATGTTTTTCTTCTGATGGAACCAAACGTCCTCTTCCCGCAGGAAAACGAAATCTCTTTGTGATTCTCCATTGTTAATATGAAGTTGAGTTGGTTTGTTCAGTTTGGTAGCATTGTTGGATATAACAGCATAAAGTAATGGGTCAGGCAGTAGCACATCATTGTTTCATCCATTTATGTGATGTTAGTTTTGAAAACGGATGATTTTGCTGTTCTTAGTCTATTCAGCAATGAGGCAGTTTGACCTGATGGTGATGATAATGTAAATGATATGGGATCATTACAATTGTATTTAATGATGTTATCATCTTTTAACCAGTTGCCTGTCATTTGTTTACTTAATGCTACTATATTTACAAGGAATAAGTTGGCATCTTTCTTATGGATTTGTTCTGGATTTTTTCCAAGTATTAATAAAAGTGGGTGTTAGAAATCACAAGTCTCTCCTCTCTCAACCTGCATCACCACCTCTGTCAATCAAGTGTAGACCACTCCCCAGAGGTGGGACCAAGTCATTGTTTTGCAAGTCACAAGTTAGTCTCAAGTCTTTGCCTTCAAGTCCCGAGTCAAGTCCCGAGTCAGAGACAGGCAAGTCCCGAGTCAAGTCCCAAGTCAAGACCGACAAGTCTCAAGTCGAGTCCCAAGTCCTACCGTTTGAGTTTCGAGTCCTTTCGAGTCCTTTTAACAACAGGGAAATAATATTTACACAGATCATGTATGCTTTTAAGATTTGTATACATTTATTAAACCTTTTTTTGCAAGAACATTGTTCAAACACTCTTTTTAACTCATTTCAAAACCTAAGTGTAACCTTAACCTTTTCAAACATGTCACCACTTTATAAAAGATATCCTCGCTCCCAAAAAATTATCTAAATAATCTACATGTAATACATTCATGCCTCTATCAGTTCCTGTTGCTCCCTTGATAAACAATTGGCATGCATCCATAGAGAGACTGGTGTGTGTGTGTGTGTGTGTGTGTGTGTGTGTGTGTGTGTGTGTGTGTGTGTGTGTGTGTGTGTGTGTGTGTGTGTGTGTGTGTGTGTGTGTGTGTGAGAGAGAGAGACTGCGTGTGTGTGTGAG